GGATTTTGAACGTCGAGCATAGGTAGATTAGGTTATTATCTTTTGAAGTTATCTACGAAATATTTATGATCTGTTATTTTTCTAAACAATATTAGCTTGAGACAATGAGTTGCCCAGTTTACAGAGAAACGCCCATATATACATTCCAATTCCAATTAATTAATCATTTAATATTTAAACAGACAATTAATCAATAAAAAGTAAAAACTATAACCATGTGTTTTTTTACGTGCGCGCGGAATTGTGCACTGACCAAGCCCGCCTGAGTTATACATAGCTCAGGCGGGCTCGGTTATTGCACAATTCCACACGCACGTAAAAAACCACATGGTTTAACCATGTTAATAACTTGTTAATAATATTAACAAGTTTAATCTAAATGTATAAATACGCTCGGACAAATTCTATACATAATTTGAATGGTGTTATTCCCTAAGAAAACAACCCTAACTTTTGTCAAACTTATATAATAGCGTACGAAAATTATGTGGTTCCTTCATTACTTTAGTGTTAATTAGGTTTCAATTTTTTAATTTTATTTCTAAATCGGTAATTTCGTGCTAAACTTTTTATTTCAATATTTTTTCTTTATTTTCGATAAAATGTAGTAGGTATATTAATTGTGCGACTAGTGGGAGAAAGGAGATTCCACGATCGTGGAATTTGGTTTGTTCTATGAATTTGCCGCAGGCCTGCTCCGGAGCGTAGTGAGCGAGGTAACACGCGAGTGGAATCTCCTCTTTTGACTAGTTGTCGCACACAATATTTTATTCAACCAACACAAAGAATTTAAAGCCAATTTTATTTGAAATTTTATCTGACATCTGACAGCTGTCAATTAGTTTTAACTTCAATTTTTTTCTAAATTTAACTTAAAGCTAATTTAGCCCACTAGTGGGAGAAGTAAAGTTCGCCCACCGCACAGACAGGTATTTGGACCTAAAACGTGGCCAAAAATCAATTTTGTTAATTTTTATTGCCAGATCTAAGATTTTGTTTTAAAGAAGTTAGATAACATGGCTATCTTTTGGTGTAGTTGAAACTTGAATTGGCCATCCCAGTCCGATGTACCAGCAGCTAGAACCTAGCGCTCTTTTACATCGTAGGTCTTCGTTCGCGACACTCCACAAAAAAACAAATTTTTGCTGTGTTGTTTCTTATGTTAAAAGAGATTTGGTGAAAGAAATTAATATGGATGTCGTCAATTAAGGTATGTACAATATTTTAGGCAATATTTCATTTGTGTTATAAACTTTATTTATTTATATCGAGTACTATAATGAACTACCTAGAAATTCTTAATTTTTCTCGTTTTCTTAAACAAACAATGGTGTTTTTAAATATCGGCAACACCTCGCAACGGCATCCGCAATACATTTTATTAAACTTTAGGATATCTAGAATAATTGCAGCCATCAAAGTCATCCACATGTTTCCACATCACGAAAAAATGTACCCTTGAAAACAGACACTTTAGTGCGATCTTATAAGATTTTTAGGTAAATGGATGTATTTTTTATTTTTTAAAGGGCACAAAAACTTTAATATATGTTTAATTTTAATATTTTTTTTGCATTACTTGCATGTAAGTAGCTACTTTATAATTTTTTTATAAATAAATTTGTGAATACATACATGTTTTTATTTATAGTAAAAGTACCTAATATCACTTGTATACCTTTAAAAATATGTTTTTTGGTCATTTGCTACCCTTTTGATAAAGAAAAAGTGCCCAAATATTTTTGGCCACGTTTTAGGTCAAAATACCGCTCTGTGCACCGGTTAAAGTTAAGAAATGAATTCATTTCGAAATGGGAGTTGAATAAAGTAAATTTGTTAGTTGATTCCTTGTTGACTAAATGAAACTGGTGATAACTGCCTATAACAACCATGTCACTTGAGTCTTTGTTAATATTTAGAAAGTGTTTTATTTAAAAAATTTTAATTTAGTATCTCCGCATTTTTTATTATTAAAAATATTTTAAACAGGTGGTCCCACATGCAACCATTTTTTTAGTGCCAAATTTTAAAAACTTTTATTTTATAAGGTGTGCCATATGCATAACAAGTAATATCTATATGATTTCTTTTTCTTTATTATTCAATATATCCTTATGCATATAGTTCATTTCACGTAGCCGCGCGGCGCGGTCAGGCCTGCCCCACCACTCTTACGTCACTCCCACGTCTCATAATGCATTTGTCTTTATTTACGCTCCATGTGGCTACAATTGTGACTTCCTTATGTACATATACATTATGGGTTAAAATGATACAGTGGAGCTCCCACTCCTCAATCGTACAATTGTGATATGTGTTTACTACGCAGACAAGAGCATGCGCTCACCAATTTCTGCCTTGTTTTTGTTTTGGATGGCAATTTAAGCGTGCTATTTCTTTACATCATTGCGTCTAATAGTTATTGTCTTTTTATTACAAAAATGGCTTTATTTAATGTAGACTGCTTAAAGGTTAATTCTTTGACTCTTCAAAAAATTTTTTATTTTGGTTTTCATATTAAAGCAATTTTGTCGAGAAAACTTTGCTTTAAAATTTGAATTTAAATTTCTCAGGAGTTTAAGGGTATACCCTTATAAGAGCACATTACCATCCCTGTACAGAGATAATGCAGGCTAATATTCACGAGAATGAGGTTTGCGTCTCGAGTCATAATCTCGAGTGTAATACTATACTTTATCTCTCCAATAAGTAGATAATAAATGATTTTAAAAATTAAATAAATAAAATCTGACATGTACATGACGTCAAATGGTTAACCTTACTTTTTACCAATTTTAGATGTTATTATAGTCGGCTCCTTTTAATTTAAAACCCGATTGGTTCAAATCACGGTGAATATTGAAATCGGCCAATTACTAATGCCTAACAACGTAAATGATGAGTTTATTATTCACGTTGTTAGGCAGGGAATTTATAATGTTTATCAATATTCACATTTGCAATTCTTGAAGGTATCTTCGACAGCGTCTAATAGTTATTGTCTTTTTATTACAAAAATGGCTTTATTTAATGTAGACTGCTTAAAGGTTAATTCTTTGACTCTTCAAAAAAATTTTTATTTTGGTTTTCATATTAAAGCAATTTTGTCGAGAAAACTTTGCTTTAAAATTTGAATTTAAATTTCTCAGGAGTTTAAGGGTATACCCTTATAAGAGCACATTACCATCCCTGTACAGAGATAATGCAGGCTAATATTCACGAGAATGAGGTTTGCGTCTCGAGTCGTAATCTCGAGTGTAATACTATACTTTATCTCTCCAATAAGTAGATAATAAATGATTTTAAAAATTAAATAAATAAAATCTGACATGTACATGACGTCAAATGGTTAACCTTACTTTTTACCAATTTTAGATGTTATTATAGTCGGCTCCTTTTAATTTAAAACCCGATTGGTTCAAATCACGGTGAATATTGAAATCGGCCAATTACTAATGCCTAACAACGTAAATGATGAGTTTATTATTCACGTTGTTAGGCAGGGAATTTATAATGTTTATCAATATTCACATTTGCAATTCTTGAAGGTATCTTCGACAACGTATTTATTCCCACACACTGGCTTGTACACCTCCTATTTTTGTAAAAAACAAAAAAGCGGCTAGAGCTAGTATTCTTTGGTCTCAAAGACACACAAATTGATCGGGTTGACTGGAAATCCTTCTTCAAGTAAGGTGAAACTTCTCAATTTCTTGTTTTTAGTGTCTGGCAAAACTACACTTAAAAAAATATTTAGTAAATTTACACATCTGATCGTTGGTTATTTTGATGCCACGTATTTAAATGTATATGTACAAAAATACTGTAAAACTACATATAATGTGTAAAAATGCAAAGGTCATGTAAATCTAAAATTTAGGAAAATAATAGTACAAGTACATTAAAAATTGTAAAAGCACATAAATTTAAGGATTTATTACATAATAATATGAAAAACTACATATTAATTTAAAAAAATACATAAATTGATGCTATTTTACTTATTTAAGTATGTGTGTACATGTTTTATATGGAACAACACATTTCTTAAGTAAAAAAACAGAAATAAATGTGTGTTTGGATGTGTAAAATTTCGTAAATTTTTTTCAGTGTACGTGAAAATATTTTCCTTTGTCTTGAATATTTTCTATTTTTAAATTGACCAATTTATCGCATCTACAAGCACCACTAATCCCCATTATCAAAGCCACTTTCATCAACAGGTACTCGTCGTCGGGAGCTTCGTTCAAAAACTTCTCTATTTCAGGTCGTTCTAAATTTAGAACTTCTAATGTCTTGGAGTTCTTTGGTTTGTATCCCTGTGATTCGCTTTTCAAAAAGCTCGTTAGTTTGCCATATTTTGAAATGTCGATTTTTTTATAAAGGTGTATAGTCGAGCGAAGCATGGAATATTTGGTCCATAGCGACGGCTAATTTTTTATGCAAATGTAAAAAATAAGCCAATAGAACATTTTTATCGATACCTTTTTTCTTCAATGAATTCATCCAAGACTCAAACATTTTGAACTCCTTGTTGTAAGCATCTCGGGACTTTTCTGGCAAAATCTGCATCGCTGCTTCTTCCGCTTCCGTAAGGATATCCTCAGGAACGTAATTTTCATCGGATTCCTCCATTTTCTATACGTTTTTTTCTTTAAAGAAGCTTCCCTTTTCTGCAGGAAAACTGACAACATTTGCTAACAATGTATCATACCCGTGGCAACCAAACAAACAACCTACTTTGACCAAAATGTAAAAAAGTCACTGTCAAGTTATTCTGACATTTATAGGGTACTGAGACGCAAGTAGCTTTGATTTGATCACAAAGCTTATTAAATATTATCTCATAAAAAAACGATTTCTTCCACTTGTTGGATATAACATTGTATGCCACTATGTTTCCTAAGTCACTTGAGAATTTATACCACTCGGCGTGACTCGCGTGACTTATTTTCAACATAACACACTAGTATCATAAATAACTATTATATATTTTTTAGGAATGTTTGAGTTATGGCCTCATATGAATAAATGCACAGTAATTGCAAAAAAGGAATTATTTTACATGTGGCCTTTTGGATTAGCAGCATGGTTATGTGGACTTATATTTATTCCCAGAGTACAAAAAGATAAAGCAAAATTAGTAATGAATAAGGCAGCTGAAAAAATAAAAGAAGATAAGGTAAGTTTAAAATAATAGAATAATTTATTCTTTGTTTACTATTTGTAATACACTTTCAAAAAAAAGTTTTCTACTTGTTGTTTTGTTTCAAACGTGCTACACAAACAGGCACCGTCAGGCAGCCTGTTTCAGTCTTATTAGACATCATCAGTGCTGAATAGCCGTGGTGTGTACGCACACATAAAACATGCTGCCAATTTGTATAACTTGACCTCCGAAAACACTAACACTCATTTTTAAGGGTGCAACGTTATTTTTAACAAACAAACAGCCATTTTGTGGTAACATCTTGTTCTTAATTATTTTGAGGTCCTTGACCCAGAAAACCCCTTCCTACTACTTTTTTTCGAACGTGACGTCAGTTTTTTCAAAGTTGGTCCGTCATTGTGTGGCGGCCATTTTGTTCTTTACTATTTTGACCTCAAATTTGAATTCTTGGACCCCAAAAACAAAAAGGTATTTATTTTCCAATAAATTCGCTTACTATTTGAATTTTGGCCAGCTTTTTGTGTGTTTCTGACCACTGTGCGTCGGCGGAAAATATGTAAAGAAACTATATGCGCATTGGGTTCACTGCTTGCGAGCAGGGTCAGCAGATCACAGAACAAAATATGCTCGATGGGGTAGTTAATGAACACCAGGTTCACTAACCCGGGTAGGTTTCCGAAAACGCTTAATTATTGCCCAGCATAAGTACTCACAAAGTCTCTGTTTTAATATTAGGTAAACAAGATGGACTCCTATGAGAGGGAGGTTGCTAGACTATATTTAGGAACACAATTGGTTATGGAAAATATAAAAAGGAGCGGTAGGTATAATCATATACCACGAGCAATAAAGCAGAGTGCTATTCACCTATTAGGAGTGGAATATTTAAAACCTATTCCTCCGGAAAACAAAAGAGGTCCCTGCAAATATTGTAAAAATCGCAAAACCAAATATTATTGTAAAGTTGTCATAACTGGCTATGTTTAGAATCTTATTACCCATAATATAACAAGTGGTATGATTATCATCGATGATATTTTCGAATTGAAACCGAGCTGCAGATTTCACGAGTCCGCAGGATGAGTGAAATGTGCTGCTTCGGTTTCAATGAATAAATATCATCGATAATTAATCATACCACGAGTTATATTTAGTGAGAAAATATAATAGTTAGGGAGCTGGTGGCAGAAATTTTTAAGTCATTTGCTCGCGTGGCAGAAGTTGAAAATAATGAAGTTTGGATTATAAAAGTCACTAATGACAACTTCTGCCATACCATTATTGCTGCATTATTAATTGATAGGTAATTAAATATGTAAAAAAAAAAATTTCCTTAAGTCATTTGCTCGCGTCTGGCATTTTTTTTAACTTGAAGTCCCTAACAAGACTTTCAGATAAATATCATCGCCAGACGTGTATGTCTCTGCATTAATGAGTATTTAATTTTTTTTTTTTTAATTATGATATATAAAAATTTAAATGATTTGCTCGTCAATAAAATTTATACAAAATGTTAATTGGGTCATAAAAAAGCAAAAAATAAAAGTCTGCCATTTAATGTTTACTGCGATAATGAACAAAGAATTTTCAAAATTGTAAAAAAAAAAAATTAATATTAAGTTATTTGCTCGTGTCTGGCTCTTGGTTAAATTATTCTGTTGTATGTCAGAACTGTGAATATAACTATGCCAGACATGAGTATTGCTGATTTTGTATAGCCAGAACGCTTTTAGGTTAGGGTAGGTATTTTGAGAAGGCGGTTTTTTTTACTTATAACGTTAAAATTTGTAAGGTCATAAAATCATATGATTACATATATATGTAATCTTTCGATTCCCCAAGTTTGATGACCCTCAGTTACACTTCCGTATGGGGTCAGAGGTCAAACATATTTTTTTATTACTTATTATTAATTTATTTTTTTACCTATTATGGGCAATTAAATACAGACATTTTTTAAAATATAACCTTGAAATTTGAAATGAGGCCACGGGGTCATATGATCTTTTAACCCCCCAAGTTTGGTAACCCCCGTACAAACATGTTATTTTTATATTATGTTAATTGAAATTAAAAAAAAATTAATTGTTAAAAGGTCTATTAAAGTGCGAAAGTTTTCAAAATTTAAGATAACATTGGAGAAGATATAAGAATGATAAATCCGGTTTTGCAGCCTTTTCCGTTGACCAAATTATTGTTAACTTAGTAAAAATTATTAATGCTTAAAAGAAAATACGCAAACTTGAAAAAATGTATGCAAACTTTATAGAGTATTTTAGTAATAATAATTATTAGACATTTTATATCAAGTTTGTTTATTAACATAACACAAAATAATTGTGAAAAAATCTTCCGTTCTGAAAAAAATTATACCACTTGACCCTTTTTTGTCCTATAAACAATTAATTGCAAAACTTTTGCGACATTTTTTAACAAAATATATTAAAATAAAGGAACCAATTACTTGCTATGTTTTGCTAATCGTGGCAGGGTGCAAACTTGATAAAAAGTGTATAATTAATTACAATAATTATTATAAACATATTTTTTAAATTGGCATAATTCTTCTTTTTTCTTTAAATTTTCCGGAGGGTCGAATAGTGTGCAAAACTAGACTTTTATCCCTTCTCAAATATTGTCTCAAAATTTAAAAACTATCGTACTTTTTAATTTTTAAATCCCTAATTACTGGCCTATTTTTTTACTTGATATTCACATTTTAAATTATAGAGTCATAGGGTTTAGGGTACAAAAATAAAAAATAAAAAAAATAAGAAAAATACGAGCATTTGTTTTTTACAAATCATAAATTATTAAAGAAAAACGCAGTGTCCTAGACGTCTGGCAAATGTTTTTTGGTATCTATATGTCAATTTAAGGGGACAAACATGAGCAATTTAAAATATTTTTCTGCAAAAAGCATACATACCTACACGTCTGGCATTATTTTTATCTTATTTGGGTGACAAAAATTAACAATTAAAAAATAAGACATATCATTTAATAGATCATTTGTTTTTTACAAATTAACTACAGGGAATATTTTGGATATTTTTTGGTATAGTAGCTAAAAAAGCAAAGATAATGGTATTATTTATTTTGACACTTAACATTACTGTTTACCATAATGTTGTTTTAATAGAGTTCCTAAAAGCAGTTGGTTTTTTAAAAGGACCCAGAGATTACACAGTATTTAAGTTTAAAATTGCTCTTCTAAAATTTTAAGTTTTTTGACTTTGCACGTTTTTTCCTATACTCCTCAAAATGTTTTTTTAGTATCTATATAGCCAATTTAATATAAAACCTAAATGGCAGACACGAGGAAAATGACTTAGGCTACTCTCTAAAAATGAATTAGTCAAAAATTACTAATTTGATAGTTAATAGTGGCTGCTTTTTCACTTGTACCATGGTTAACCATGGAATACCATGGTATCCCAAAACTTAACTGCCAGTTCTTATGTAAAATTGTCCCCTGAATCCGAAAATACCGTCAAAAATTTTGAAAGTGAAGCAGTTTATAAGATATAGTCAATTCCATATTAAATAGAAAATTTACTTTATCTCAAAAACTGTTCTTTTTTAACTTTTATTTTTGTATTCAGGGGACAATTTTACATAAGAATTGACTATTTAATTTTAGGATACCATGATATTCCATGGTTAACCATGGTACAAGTAAAAAAGCAGCCACTATTAACTATTAAATTAATAATTTTTGACTAATTAATTTTTAGAGAGTAGGTATTATTTTTTACAATTTTAAAAATTATTTGCTGCAAAAAGCAGAGACATACATGTCTGGCATTATTATTTTTTTATTTAGGGGACACAAATGAACAATTAAAAAAATAAGATAAAGACGAGCAAATCACTTAATAGAGCATTTGTTTTTTACATATTTAAAATTATTTAAAAAAAAAACGCGGCGTCCTAGACGTCTGGCAAATGTTATTTTAGTATCAATATGGTCAATATAATATAAAACCTAAATGCCAGACACGAGCAAATGACTTAGGTTAGGTTTTATTTTTTACAATTTTAAAAATTACTTGAAAAAAAAAGCAGCGATACCTGAGCCTGCCACCCTATTTACTCAGTTCACAAGCATCAAAACTCTATAACATATCATTCCCAACGACGAGCAAATCATATACCGAAATTGCCACCAGCTCCCTAACTATAATGAATTTTAGGATTTAACGAATTGTCAGTTTGACATTTGAAATTAAAATGTGCTTTAATATATAAAAAGACTTTAATAAACCTTATTTATTCAAACTTACCTTAATTTTATTATCGTTTACACCAACCCATCGATCTTTTAGAGTTTATAATTCATTATTTTAATCATTTAACAAACACAGTATGTAAATGTCAACAAATGTCAAATCAAGAAAAGTGTCCTTAGCAACGTGTAAACAAGGTGATAAAAAATATTGTCGCTGTGTTAAAATGCGTAACCATGGAATACTGGCATTTTATTGGTTATAATTATAATGAATTGTATTGTCAAGATTTTAATGAAAATAAATGGTAGTTTTCTGGATAAGGTTTATATGGTCATATATTTTCTTATCCAATATTTTTTTATGTAGTTGGTTTAAAAAAACTATTTTTCTCAAGGATATCATTAATTTAATTTTTTTTAAATAATTGTTTTTTTGTATTTTCACAGTTTTCAGATGAAGACTATTAAAATGTTACCATTTACTTTTTGGAATAATATTAATATTTTAAAATATTATTATTGTTTCTTTTTCTATAAAAAGACAAAGAAATACCTAACATTTAAGAAAACATAAAGTAGGGAAGACGAAAAATACGTAAGTCGGAAATACAAATATTTTTTTAGTAGGTCCAAATTGGACCGTCCAATAGACCCAACCCGTCTATTGGTGTAATATTTTTTCACCCGTGCACTGGTTAAATTAAATACTAAAACTGAAAAAAAGTTTATGATTTATATTGTGTAAAACAACATTTATGATTTTTGGTGTAGGTAAGCAAGGCAACCATCACGCTTTGATACGAATCGCGTTTTTTAATCCAGCTGAAATTAACAATAATTGCAATTTGTAAACAATATCAAACTCTGCGGACGTAAATTCATGGATTTACGTTGGGTGAGAAAAAAAACCATGTTTGCATTGCTTAATAAATAAAAATAATGAATAGAGAACACTCGTGAAAATAAAGTTAATCAATCTGATATAAGATATATAAGATGTATATATATGTATATATATAAGATGTATACGAGCCCTGTCTCGGTGAAGTTGGCCCAACCACTCAAAATATAAAATTTGTTTTTATCATATGTAATTCTTGGTCAATCTTCATGTTGTAAAATTTTTTAAAAAATATGTGTATGTATATTATTTAGTTTTAAGTTGGATGTTTGGTTACAATACAAAAAAATCGACAAAAATGCATTAACTTGGATGGCCACATTTTTTAATGCAAGTCGGCTGTGCTAAAAGTAAAGATAATATTTGACATTTAAATAATTGTAAGCAAGTCGGTAGTGAAATTTCAGTATATATTTATGCTTTCGGTGTGGTTGACAAATAATAATGTCCCGAGAAAAAGCTGTTTCTGAAGAAATAAGAAAAGTGATAATTCACTTGCATTTAAAAAGAAAATCCGCTGCACAAATCGCTGAAACTGTTAATTTGTCACGATATACAGTGCGAAATATTATTAAACTGCACAAAACTACAGGATCTGTGGCGCAGAAACCAAAAAATGGAAGTCGTCCTCACCCTATTAAAAATGCCATATAGAAACACAAAATAAAAATCTATCTGGTTCAATATAGCAATTTGAAACAGGCATTGCACTATTGAACCAGATAGAATTCCATACCTGGAAAACCATATAGAAAAGTGGTTTCTATATGGATTGCCATATAGGTTCATATTGCTCTATCTGGCCCAATATGGTTTGGGTGTGAAAAAATGATTACCATATAGATCCATATTTAATCATATAGGGAAATCTATATGGTTTAATATGCAATTTTCCCTTAAATATATATACATTTTAAAATGGAATTCCATATTCAACCATATAGGGAAACCTATATGGAAAGACACATAAAACAGAAACCAGATAAATCCATATAAAAATCCCTAAGTTGTACATTTTAAAATGAAATTCCATATTAAACCATATAGATTCCAAAGTGTAAACCAGGTCGTTCCATATAGGACATATAGAACCATATAAATCCATATTAGTTTCCTTATCTGGATCAATATGGGTTCTATAGGGCATTTTTAATAGGGCACTATTCTGATAAAAATTTAAGGGCTTTAAGAAGAATTATCGTTCAAAATCGTAGGGCTAATTACGGTGAATTAAAAGTTTTGAGAATCAGGCAACGAGAAAATGTTTTTCAAGAGCAACCTGTCATAGAGCTGCTCAAAAACTTGGGTTTAAAACTTACAAGGTTTGCTTATAATGTATACGATTTTTATTTATTTTTAATTTTACTATCTGTAGGCAAAGGAAAAACCTTTATAAAGGTTTGGCCAATATATATTGACAAAAAAACAGAAGAAAAATAGACTTCTCTGGGCAGTTTGCGTTGGTGATAATCGAAGCCGAGTCATTAGAACTAAAGCAGAAGTCTTTCACAATGACTTAAGAAAAAAGTAAAGTTTCAGGCCTCTGTGATGATTTGGGGATCTATGTCAGCTAAAGGGATCGGTAAATTACACTTTGTAGAGGGCATTATGAATGCTGATAAATATATTTACGTCCTAAAAAATAACTTAAAACCGCAAATTGAAGAAATGCGTTTAAATGATATTGAATGCATCTTCCAACAAGATGGTGCAGCGTGTCATACGGCTTAAAAAGTGAACGCTTGGATGATAGAAAATAATATTTCACTTTTAAAATGGACATCTAGTAGTCCATATCCTTCGCCTATAGAAACTTTGTGGCATATTATGAAAAAGAAGCTCAGAGAACAGCCCGCAAGAACCGTCTTAGAGTTGCGTGCTCGCCTGCAAGAAATTTGGAATAATTTTACGCCGGATGATTGTCAAAAGACGTATACAGGCAGTAATAAGCCATAAAGGAGATGTTACGCAGTGGTAGTTTCCAATTAAAATGTATTTATTTAAAATATTTTTTTTTCTTAATTTTTGGTTTACGGACATATTGCAATATAAGAGAATTTTAAATATTTTTTATTAGGTACTTAAAAATACAATTTAACGGTAGATAATTTAATAAACGTTATTTATTTAATTAAAACAAAGTGTTAATTTTAATTAATTACCGTATAATATTCTAAATATCTATATCTATAACTATTTTTGTTAGTTGGGCCAACTTCACTGAGACAGGGCTCGTATATGCTGAACAATAAAAGTATGGGAGCCTGCTGTGGCCGGGTTTGATTACCCAAAAGTAACAAAGTGGAAGTTTTTATCCTAAATAGAGATTGAATTTTAAATGTAGTGTTTTTTGGGTCACTGATAACGAATTTTGGGTTTGTTTTACAAAAACAAAATGACAGGATGTTTTTTTAAGAACTCTTCTTACCTATCCCAGTAAGCACAGGCTAGCCGGCCCGCATACGGCCCGAATACGTTTTGCCGAATCGGCCGCGTGCGGCCCGACACACGTATTTCTTCCGGCGTGTAGAACGGGCATGTCCGCCTGTTAAATTATAGGGCATATCCGCCTAGCCGAATGTCGGCTATGTTTACTCGGCCGAGTGTCGGCTGTGTATAGTTGGCCGAGTGCCGGCCACAACCGCCTGGCCATTCAAAAAAAGCCTACAGATCTTCTGGAGAGGTATATCTTATAAGTTTAGTACTAAAATTCTCTGAATGGCAAGATACTTTTTTAACACACTTGACTAGCTGGACATTATTCGTAACTGAGCAGATGAGGATGGAGATGGGGACTCCAAACAATTAATGTTCAGCTATGCCATTTCGGCCGCACACTTCCAACTAAATATTGCAACCAATCGCTATTTATAGTTAGCTCGCGTGCGTAAGCAGCCGTGAGATGTATCGCTTATGCCGCGGCAGGCCGTATTCCAGCCGTAAGCGGGCCGGCTAGGGCAAGCCGAAGAATTTTGCTGCGGCATGCCGTATTCTGGCCGACTTTGGTTAGAACATGGCTAAACGGTACCGGGGTAACATAACGCGAGCCGTAGCTGGGCCGGCTGGGGCAAGCCGAACCGCCGGTCAACCGCCTATGCCGAGCGAAGGCCGAGTGTTTGCCGAGTGTTTGGTGCTTGCTGGGATATTGGCTAAAATTAGTAGGCATGCATGGGTGTTTCGGGACACTGATAACATGTTTTAGGTTTATTTAAAAAAAAATGGCGGATGCATTTATACCTAGAAATTGTAGGTAAATTAAAATTAAAGGGTTGTAATATCTATAAAGTCTGATTTTGTTTTTAGCAAATGTCTTTTGTCTGAAGAGCAGTTTAGTTATTTAGACTTATTGTACCAAAAAAAATTGTTATTTAAAAGTATAAAAACATTATTTTATTGTAGACAAAATTATGGGTATTTCCTGAGGGTACACGAAGAAACACTGGAGAAGTTCACCCATTTAAAAAGGGTGCATTTCATTTGGCAATCACATCGCAACTTCCTATTTTGCCAGTGGTTTATAGCAAGTATTATTTCTTAAATAAAAAACTAAGAAAATTTGACCATGGTAAGTATATAAAATACACGGTTTAATAACGTTTTATGTTAATATATTTATTAATAATAATTAATATTCTAAATTAATTGTAGAAAACAGTACTACTTAGAACTGTAAGATCAAACTATATTTTTTATTAAACTATACAACAATTCAGCTAATTCTTAGTTAATTTAAATAAGTTAAAAGTCACCTGAAAATTAAGAAGCCTAAAAAATATGCAATATATCGATGACTTTCTGCCAAAGTATCGCAAGCAACATAACTCAAATTTCGGGAATTGAAAACAATTTTTTTTAGTCTGGTTTAAACCATATATAATCTATAGGTTTTATAACAAGTAAATAGCTATAATTATAAGCTATTTACTTGTTATAAAACCTTTAGGCTATATTTAATTTAAATCAGACTTTAAATAAAAAATGTTTTTAATTCCCGAAATTTGAGTTATATTGCTTGCGATACTTTGGCTGAAACTCATCGATATAATCATTATAATTTTCATGAATTAAAACAAACAAAAATCATATTTACTTAAATACCCGGACAACATTCGTGATATTCATACGAACATCAGTCGTGATTTTTACAAATTTTATTCATACTGATATCACACGGAAGTCACCGCGTGATAAATGAAAATCATAAGAACGTCACGTCGTGATTTTCACAAATTTTATTCATACGGACATCATCCGGATGTCACTGCGTGAGAAATGAAAATCATGTCTTGATTTTTTATGCCATCGCTGTTTGCGATTGACCGATGGCCTAAAAAATCATGTCGTGATTTTTTATGCCAGCGGTGTTTGGATAATCATTTTTGCGCCACGTTCGTACACTAAGAGAAAAATTATGTTGAATCAACAGTTTTTGCGGTTAAATACATTTAATATTTTCTTGGATAGATTAAGTATATATAGTTAATTTAAATCCAAGAAAATATTGAATGTTAAACTGTTGATTCAATTGTTAACATACTTTTTCTTTCAATGTACGAATGTGTCGCAAAAATGAATATCCAAACACCGATGGCATAAAAAATCATGACGTGATTTTTTATGACCAAAAACCGATGGCATAAAAAATCATGTCGTGATTTCTTATGCCATCGGTGTTTGGATATTTATTTTTGCGCCACATTCGTACATTGAGAGAAAAAGTATACCTACATATATATTGAATCAACAGTTTTTATACATTCTATATTTTTTTGGATTTAAATTAATAGTTAATTTACATCCAAGAAAATATTAAATGTATTTAACCGCAAAAAAACTGTCAATTTAATTGTTAACATACTTTTTTTTTCAATGTACGAATGTGGCGCAAAAATAAATATTCAAACTTGTCGGTGCACCGATGGCATAAAAAATCATGTCGTGATTTTTTATGCCCAAACACCGATAGCATAAAAAATCATCCATCGGTGTTTGGATATTTATTTTTGCGCCACATTCGTACATTGAGAGAAAAAGTATACCTACATATACATTGAATCAACAGTTTTTATAGTTAAATACATTCAATATTTTTTTGGATTTAAATAATAGTTAATTTACATTCAAGAAAATATTAAATGTATTTAACCGCAAAAACTGTTAATTCAATTGTTAACATACATTTTCTCACAATGTACGAACGTGGCGCAAAAATGATTATCCAAACACCGTTGGAATAAAAAATCAAAGCAAACAGCGATGGCCTAAAAATCACGACATGATTTTCATTTCTCACGCAGTGACAGCCGATTTGATTTGATTTCCGTATGAATAAAATTTGTGAAAATCACGACGTGATGTTCGTATGATTTTCATTTATCACGCGGTTACTTCCGTATGATATCAGTATGAATAAAATTTGTGAAAATCACGACATGATGTTCGTATGAATATCACGAATGTTGTCATTCAATTAAAAAAATATTCCAATGTTTAACAAAACGTTCACGTTTTGTTAAACATTGAAATATCTTTTTTAATTAAACCCGGACAACATTCGTGATATTCAAACAACGTTTTATAAATTATAACGGTGTAATGTGAATAACAAACTAGGTTTTAAATTCGCAGTTCGCAGGGCTTATACGCATGCGCAAATTTTGCAAATATCACACCGTGAGTTCTACATGATATCCCGATTGTTGTCCGTGTAGTTGTTTAGCTCAGGGGCTTGCACAGAATATTCTCATGGGGGAGGGTTATCATTAAATTGTTAAACATATAACATAAACATATAAATTTAAAATATTAACACTGTCTAACAAAATTAAAAAAAAATTGCAAAAGGGCTGGGATATTTTTTTTCTTGTTCAGAATTGTTTTGCTAATAGCATAGCTAATGGCCAACTTTTTTATAAAATTGAAAAAGTCGCTTGGTCATTTAAACTGAATTATCAACACCAATACACGAGATATGAACAATTCTTAATTTTTATTAAATAATAGAATATTGCTCAAATTTTATCTAAGGCTGTTTGAATCATTCACAAAGATATGGTCGAAAAGATCAGGAAGCAAATCTAATGAAAACCTCATTTTCGTCATCTATGTCGAAAATCAATACAACCGTACGACAATTTTCCCCCAATGTTGTAGAAAATTAAATAACGAACAGAACAGAAAAAGCATAGTTTTGCACTCGGCTATTATTCACTAGTATGAGATTTGCATCTCGAGCCGTCAGGAGGGAGATAAGTAATCCGAGTAAATAATTCGCATTATAATAATAATAATAAAGTATTATTATTATTATAATGCGCATTATTTACTCGGCTTACTTATCTCCCTCCTGACGGCTCGAGATGCAAATCTCATACTAGTGAATAATAGCCTGCATTATCTCGTATAATAATATTATAATTATGGAGCAAACATGCTAAAGCCGATAAATCCATTTTAACTTTTTCTGAGATATTGGCCAAAAATGTGTACAGCAAAGTTCCACAAATATTTAAAAAACTATTAAAAGGGGATGTTGCTCCTGTTAGGTTCTCTTTGCTTCGGTTTTTACTAAAATTGCTGAGCTAAGTCAAAAGACTTTACCAAAATTAGTAAGAATCGTTCCTATTCTCTTATCAAAATATTCGTTATTAAATTTTCTACAACAATGGGTTGACAATTGGGGTTATCTCTACGTTGAAGTTTGAAAATGAGGTTTACGTTAAATTTAAATTTGCGCAATATTCTATTCTTCAAGAAAAAGTAAGAACTTTTAATATCTCTTGTATTGGTGTTGATAATTTAGTTTTAATGATAACAAAACCAGGTTATTTTTTTAAATTCATTAAAATACTGACCTTTTTTTTCGCACTTTTGGGTGCCCTGTTGCAAAATTCTTGTAAGAAGACCGTGTAATTGTTGAAGAAAAAACAAACTGTTTATTTTATGTAAAACAAATAAATATAGAATTTTATTATAAAAATTACAAACATAATTTACAATATTATAATAACAATAGATGTCTCTAAATTTTGCAGTACTTAATTAATGGTTAACCAATTATTTACTTGTTTATTTTAGTGGTTATTGGTTACGATTTTCTTTGGGTAAATTTTGAGTGGTATAATAGTTTTATTTAATCCACATATTTTAAATAATATTTTATATCATTAAAATTTAATAACAACAAGTATCGTATTATTAAGCATTTGTATTACGTTATACAAATATCATGTGAATAACATTTCATATTTGTAGGTAAAGTCGTCATTACCGCATTACCAATCATAGACACGAAAGGAATGACACTAGACGATATCGACAGATTAATGAAAGATGTAAGGGAAAAAATGACGACTACTTTCTACGAAAACAATAAATTTATAGGGGAATCCCTAAAACCTTTGGATTCTTATTAATTTAGTCTATTAATTTTATCTTATATGCAAAATTATTTTTATAATAATATTATGAGAAATTCAATGATCCCTGCAATTCATATTTTATATATTTAAATTTTGTATTATAAAATATTTTTTTTTTTATCAATAGCCCAGTCATTTTGGTCAAAAATGTATATGCCCACATTTAAAAATTTCCGATAGCAAATTTAGTACAATATATACACTTTTGTGTCTCAGTAAAGTCAGAAAATCTTCTCCCCCCAAAAACAATCAAGTTATAAAATACACTGATCGTTTTTTGAAGTGGTTCGCCAAAAAAATTATCCCACTTTAATAGGTTGTAACTTTTGAATGGATGGACGTATCTTGTTAATTTTTTTTTTGTTAGAAAGGGCATTTCTTTAGCAGTAAGTGTGCACGACTGCATTTATTTGTCCTGATTTAAAATAATTTTACAGGGTGATTTGTAAAGCTGTGATTTTAACATTAAATTTATTAATGTGCAGGAGGTAAATGGGTCACCCTGTATAATTTATTTTAAGGTCATCATAGAGCCTTAAGTCTTAGCGCTGCGTTCTTTTTTGGATTTTGGTCTTACGTCATTTATTTTAAAAGATATGATTTTTTAACCATCTTAAGTACACATGAAAGTCAAAAAGTTTTATTTTAATTTTTAAAGCAATAACAATAACAATAATAATGAATAACGAATTGTTAATAAAAAATAATCAATAATGGGTAGGGCCCCCTCTACTCCTTATCACCTCCTGACATCTTTGAGGCATACTCCTGATGACATTATTGATGAGGTCACCCGGAATGGCTTCCCATTCCTGTTGAAGAGCAATTCCCAGCTCTTCAATTCCATGTGGTTCAATTTGGCGATCTAACATCCTTCTTTGAAGCGCATCCCACACGTTTTCAATGGGGTTGAGGTCCGGCGAAAGCGCCGGCCATTCCATTCTGGTGATATTTTCTCGTTGGAAAAATTCATTTACCACGTTGGCTCGAAAATTAACAAGATACGTCCATCCATTCAAAAGTTACAACCTATCAAAGTGGAATAATTTTTTTGGCGAACCACTTCAAAAAACGATCAGTGTAGTATATCCTGTAACAAGTTTGAAATATGTAATTCCAAATATCGTTTCAGCATTGAGTAAGATTTACTCAATGGTTTCAGACTATACTTTTTCTACGTTTTCAAAAAATACCATAGACAAATAATTTAATTGGGAGAAAGTGAGATTGGATCGGTTTTAAAGTTGTTAGATAATAAACACAGATGTCGCCAGCAGTATTTATTCCTTCATCCGGTGATAGAATGAATTAACTCTGTAACACTTTAAGAATACATATACTGTTTGTTCAGGCTAAGTTGAGTGGTCTAAGAAATGTCACCCCATCCATCATCTCTATGTTCAGGCACAATTATATACATGTATTTCGGTAGCCGCTCTGTACGAACAAACGGCAAGCGTTCTTGTTACCGAAATCTCGTGCCGATTCGATATTTAATTTAATTAACCGGCACATGATCCCCCACCAAAGTGCTCAACTTAGCCTGAACGGACTATATGTAATTCCATATTAAAAAGTGATATTAGAACGTTCATATTCCTTAATAGGAGTAGAAAAAAATTGCATATTCAGCTCTCGTAAAACCGTCAAACTCGCCTTCGGCTCGTGTGACAAACTTTTCACTCGAGCGGAATATGACGTATTTCAAACGTGTTTCAGACTATACTTTTTCTACGTTTCTAAAAAAGTAATTTAATTGGGAGAAAGTGAGGTTGGATCGGTCTAAATTTGTTAGATATTAAACAAAGAGATGTCGCCACCAGTGTTTATTCCGTCATCCGATGATAGAATAATTTATTCTGTAATACTTTCAGGAATATATGTCATTTCAAATTAAAAAGTGATATTAGAACGCTTATATTCCGTAATATTCCTATTAATAGGAGTGGAAAAAAGGTATAAAGGTGAAGCGGCAAAGGCGTTTGTGTAGTAACGCTCGACTTTCAATATTAGTAGCAATGTAATTTTTTTAGATAAACAAATTCTATCTGGACCTTTTGAAAAATCGTATACCACTTTATCTCGAAAATCAGTTTTTGGACACTAGGTCCCTTTTCTCGGATCGCGTCACATATATAATTTAATATATAATGTAAGGTTTTCATTTTTGGCCAATGACTGGGCTACAAGGGACCAAGTTGTTTTGCGATTAAAAACCCCATACAACATTGCTATCTTTTTATAAAAAATGTATTAACTTCTTAAAAATTAGAATTTGTCGTCTATACACTGTATTAGTACATGAACATTAATATAGGAAACCGCATTAAAAAATATATCTGTGATTTAAAGAAAGTCATAGAAACATTGTTTTCATATCAAGTCAAAAATGTTTTAGTTATATTTACATAGTTCTCTGTTTTAAGAGACGTTAAGAAGTAATTGTTCATACCAATAGTCATTTTAATACCTAAGCCAATAAGTGATACCTATTTATAATTCACAATATGGGCTGTGGTATTAACAAGATTTTTTGTACTACCAAAAATTACTCGTTTGTTAAAATCAATAGTTGGCAGTGTCAAGTTAAGTTAAATGAGAAGGCAAATAGACTTTATTTACATTTAGTAATCTGGTAGAACAAAAAATTATTAAAATTAGTTCATTGTGCCATTTTTTAATATTTCTTGTGTTGTAATTATTAATTTGTTATGAATATTATGCAATTAAGTTTTTAATATTAATTTACACTTTTACACCAAAGAATAAATGTAATATGCATGTTTGTAAAATTAAGTTTTTTCGGCTTTTATCCTGCATCATGGACAACGATTAGTTTGCATAATATCATTTTTTAGAAATGAGTTGATATTACTTATTTTTTAAAACCATATAAGAAATATCATGTTGATGACAATTTTATAAATTTCAGGGATTAACAAAATTTACAGTTGTTGTATGAAACTGATTGCTGCTAAGCAAATATCACCCATACTAAATATACCTGCATCATGGACAACGATTAGTTTGCATAATATCATTTTTTAGAAATGAGTTGATATTACTTATTTTTTAAAACCATATAAGAAATATCATGTTGATGACAATTTTATAAATTTCAGGGATTAACAAAATTTACAGTTGTTGTATGAAACTGATTGCTGCTAAGCAAATATCACCCATACTAAATATAGGTACTAATAAAGATTAGTTAAAAATTTCTACCCTAAAAAATAATGTTGACCTCTGTTATTTGTTAAATGTAAGATGATATTTTGCACTATAATATACTGAATATTTTTAATGTAGGTACTATAGGATTTTAATTAAAATATATTTTATAAAAAAAAATTTTGCAAAATTACTCAACAGATTTTCAAATCTAAAACACAGCCCCACAATACATAAAAAACAATTTCGTGTACCTCACCTTTATTCAATATTGAAGTGAAACTTCCAAAGGATATGAGTTGGGTTTTTATTATTTCATTATTTTTTGTTAAAAATTTATAAATAAATTCCAGTTTCTGGTTAGTTACCTACTTATAAGTTACTGAATAGTTACTGACTGAACATGAAAAATTTGAAAAAAAAATGGTAGCTTGAAAATTTAAAAAATTTGGAAATTTTAAGGTTTTCAAAGTTTTGGAAGTTTTTAAAATTTTCGCACACCTTATCTTTTTATACTCGTTAAACCCTTTCATTTTATACCCAAGTTAAGGTGTGGCGCCCGACCGTAAAGGTGTGGTGACGGACTGGTTGCGTTGGGTAGCGAGAGCCGATTATTCGAAACTTACTCACATGTGTGGTATGGTATACTGTATACGTATGTTGTATGAAGGTATTTTAAATATTTCAGTGTCAGAAAATAGTGTCAGAAAATAGTTATATTGTATATTGTAATTGTATATTAACTGTCGTCAGAGGTGTTCTGTAATGTTCGCTTCCCTGTGTATTTTTTACGGGCGTTTAAAAAGATCCGCCCTTAAGCCAGGTATCCTAACCACTAGACCATACGGGATAATACAATATGTTATTATAGAAACTTAATTTAGAAAAGGAATATTAAGAGTCTTAATTTAAGACCAGCTGTAGACTCGAAAAACCCAAAACTCACTAAATTGAAAAAAAATCACGACAATTTAAATGCAAGTAATATAGTCCAGTCATCTAGGCATTTCACCTCGGAATCTAACGGAATAAGCTGAATTTTTGTACAAACCTTTATTTTAGCATTGCAAATGTTGTCTCAAAAGTCACATATGCCAACGTGTGAGCGGCCTTAGATATTCAAGGTCAAAGGTCGCAAAAATCAATTTTTTGAGAATATCCCCTTTTCTCTGCCTCCTATCGTATTTGCATTTATTATACAAGTTGTAGAGAATAAAATTCTCTACAATTTTTGTTTAAAACATTTTTTTATACGTCTAATCGTTTTTGAGATATAGGGCGCAGAGTGTGGAGCGCTCAGCCATACGTACCTTTAGCGCAAGGTAAATCATTAATTCCAATCTATTATACCGTTTTTTTTAATTAATTATTTATTAAATATTACTTAAATAATAATTTAATACCTTATATTTATTTTTATATATTTTTTTAAAACAAATAGTCATTAAATATTACTTACTTTTGACATACAAATAATTAAATAATGAAGTGAATCATTCTAAATATATTCTAATGTTATTCTAATTAATGATAAATGCATTTTAAGAAGAAAAGATATTAAATGAATATGTCTCTGGTCATCTCTTGGATCCAGATATTGCTTTTAAAATAACAGAAATACTATACTGCCCTACTATAGAGAAAGGCAGTAACTGCAAAAAAATGCAAAATGCGTTTTCTTGTGCTATGGTAAAGCTATGGACATTTTGTAACCGAATTCAACACAGAAATGCAGTCAAATATCTCATAAGTTATTATTAAATCAATTAAATACCTACTGCTTTTTTATAAAAATATCGTTTATGCTAATTTTCCACAAATTTCTTGTTTAGCAGTTACTGCCTTTCTCCATAGTAGGGCAGTATAGTGGGCTTGCTATTAATAAAAAGGTTAG